AAGACCAAAACCACATGATTATCTCAATTGATGCAGAGAAGGCCTTTGACAAAATTCAACCGCCCTTTATGTTAAAAACCCTCAATAAACTAGGTATTGATGGAACGTATGTCAAAATAATAAAAGCTATTTATGACAAACCAACAGCCAATATCATACTGAATGGGCAAAAGCTGGACACATTCCCCTTAAATGTGGCACCCAACAAGGATGCCCTCTCTCACCACTGATATTCAATATAGTATTGGAAGTTCTAGACAGAGCAATCAGGCAAGAAAAAGAAATAAAGGACATTCAAATAGGAAAGGAGGAAGTCAAATTATCTCTATTTGCAGACGACATGATTGTATATCTAGAAGACCCCATCGTCTCAGCCTGAAATCTCCTGAAACTGATAAGCAAGTTCAGCAAAGTCTCTGGGTACAAAATCAATGTGCAAAAATCACATGCATTCCTATACACCAATAACAGACTTAAAGAGAGCCAAATCAAGAACAAACTTCCATTCACAATTGCCACAAAGAGAATAAAATACCTAGGAATACAACTAACAAGGAATGTAAAGGACCTCTCTTCAAGGAGAACTACAAGCCACTGCTCAACGAAATAAGAGAGGATACAAACAGATGGAGAAACATTCCATGTTCATGGTTAGGAAGAATCAATATCGTGAAAATGGCCATACTGCCCAAATTAATTTACAGATGCAATGCTATCCCCATCAATCTACCAATGACCTTCTTTGCAGAACTGGAAAAAACCACCTTAAACTTCATATGGAACCAAAAGAGAGCCCACATAGCCAAGTCAATTCTAAGCAAAAAGGACAAAGCAGGAGGCATCACACTACCGGACTTCAAACTATACTACAAGGCTACAGTAATCAAAACCGCATGGTACTGGTACCAAAACAGAGATAGAGACCAATGGAACAGAACAGAGGCCTCGGGGGCAACACAACATATCTACAACCATCTGATCTTTGACAAACCTGACAAAAACAAGCAATGTGGAAAGAGTTCCCTGTTCAATAAATGGTGTTGGGAAAACTGGCTAGCCATGTGCAGAAAGCAGACACTGGACCCCTTCCTGACACCTTACACTAAAATTAACTCCAGATGATTTAAAGACTTAAACAGAAGACCTAACACCATAAAAACCCTAGAAGAAAATCTAGGCAAAACCATTCAGGACCAACCACAGGCAAGGACTTCATGACCAAAACACCAAAAGCATTGACAGCAAAAGCCAAAATAGACAAATGGGACCTAATCAAACTCCACAGCCTCTGCACAGCAAAAGTAACAGTCATTAGAGTGAATCAGCAACCAACAGAATGGGAAAAAATTTTTGCAGTTTACCCATCTGACAAAGGGCTGATATCCAGAATTTACAAAGAACTAAAATGGCGTAGTCTTTAAGCAAATAGGTTCCTCCAATATTTTAAAAATGTGTGTTTGTTAAACAGCCAGGCAAAAAGTTGGAAAAAGGAAAGTACCAACAAAGCCTGCTTTGCATCACTTATTATATGTTGGGAAATTGGGTTTCTTTTTTTTTGTCAATCCAACCATATTACAAGTATTTTCTTTAGGTACCTGTTTATCAGAATTTTTTACATCTTCTACACAAATGGTCAATTTTCTTACTCCTTCTTGACCCCCTTCCCCTTAAAGGAGAGTCATGACAGCAGCATAGTGTAATTGGAACCTAAGCCTTGGAGTAAATGTCTGCCTTAAGGTCTTAGACAAGATACCTAAAATTTTAGTCTCATATCTTTCCCCCTTAGAAAAGAGATATTATAATCCATTGGAAAAAAATAAGTAAAGAGGTATGCAACATGCATAACACATGGCTTATTATATAGTAGTTCCCCATGTTCTTCAAATTTTCATGTTAATAGTTATGTATTAATAATAACAATAATATGACTCGCCTGTCTCTATAGCTTTCTTAATCTTTTTCTTTTTCCAAATTTATTTTATGCTCAGCTCCTTTGCTTTCTCATTTCTTATTTCCATTTCAATCCTATTTCACTCCAAAGCAACTTTACTTATTTATTTCCTTTCCATCAGTAACTTTCTACTAGTCAAATTCACTCACTGCATTTTAGACTTATCCATGTACATCTGATATCATATATTCAGTACGGATGTGTGTGTGTGTGTGTGTGTGTGTGTGTGTGTGATGTTGAAATCATCCTCTTTTCCTTTTAGAGCACTGTTATCCCCTGTTTTCCTTCCTTATTTTCTGGTCATTCCAATTAGTTCCTTTTTACTCTGCAATTTTAGGGTTTTTAAAGATTCTGTCCTCTGATATCAGATTCACCCACCTAATTTATCTTTGAGATAAATTCTAGATTTATAACTTCTATTATCTAGTCACTAATGATTATCATATTTATCAACATTTTCTAATATTCATCTGTGTTCCAGATACTTATTTCTATTGGTATACTAAACATCAAATAGATAGTATAAGGAATATCAAAATACACATTACTCAAGCTACACTCAATTTTCCTATTTGCCATTTCTCTTCCTTTTTTCTTTTATTAATAGCAACATTATCCACTTAAATAATCCAAGAAAAATCCTAAATGTTATCCTAAATTATTCTTTTTTATATACTTGTTATATACGTTCACCGCATCCATTGATTCTCTCTCTTAAACATCTTTTGATCCTTTTCTTTCTTTTTTGCTACTTTCTTTTAAAATAGACTAATCATTTCTTACCTGAACTATTTTAGTAGCTTCCTAACTTTTCTCTGTACCTCTTATAATTTCTATCTTTTAATTCTCTGCAAAGATGCCACATCTTTCTAAAATACAAATATCAGATTAATAATAATATCTTTAGTTAGGCAAGATAAATTAGTTCTGGAGCTCCACTATAGCATATGCCTATAGCTAACAACAATATATTGTCTTCTGAAAATCTGCAATAAGCGTAGATCTTATGTTAAGTATCTTTACCATCCCTCCCTCCACACACCTCAACAGTAATAAAGGAGGTGAGAGAAAATTTTGGGAGGTAATGAATATGTCTATAGCTTTGATGGTGGTGATAGTTTCACAGATGTATCCTATACCCCAAACTCACGGAGTTGTACACATTAAATATGTATAGATTTTTACATGCCAATCAACCTCAACAAAGTGGTTTTGAAGAAGAATAGCTAACAATTATATAGCATGTATGAAATGCTAGGCATTGTTCTGAGAGCTTTAGACATGCTATGGTCCAAAACACCACAGTTTTGGACCTGTTAAAATAAAAGTGTATTTTATTTGCTATAACCTGTTAAAATAAAAGTACATTTTATTATGACAACTTATAAGGCCCTTTTCATATTGGCCTCAACCTATTTTCTATCTATATCTCCACAGACACTGAAACAAGCTCCCTTTCAATGACCATACCATTCTCTCTCTCTCTCTCTCTCTCTCTCTCTCTGTGTGTGTGTGTGTGTGAGAGAGAGAGAGAGAGAGAGAGAGAGAGAGAAAGAGGTTGAAATTATCCTTTCAGAGCACTGTCAATTTCCTGGTCATTTCAATTAATTCCTTTTAGTTCTGCAATTTTAGGATTTTTAAACAATTCCCTTTCAATGAACATACTTTAATGTCACTACACATTCTATTCTTTTGAGCTAGGATTCTTGCCCATCTCATTTATCAGGGAAACTCCTACTCATCTTTCAAGTCTCAGCACAAATGTTAATTCAGCCACTTACTCAACTCTATGAAGGATCCATGCTGCTGTTTGCTTTGATAACTTGTCTATACCTCTTTTACAATACCTTTACCTTGTGATGTCATTATCCTTCCTGGTTATACTGTGCCATCTACTATACCAAGTAATTGAATGCAGTGAATACATTTTATTCATATTTGCCTCTCTAGGGCCTAGTACAGTATCTAACAAAGTAAGTTCTCAATAAAACTCCCAAATGAATGAGTGGACCAAACACACAAAGGTAATCTACTTCGTTACAAAATGTGCTTGCCCTAATTCATATGCCCATATATCCAAAAAGCAGTAAGCAAATTCCTTTGCATGGTTTCAATCAAGAAAATGAAAGCTTTGTTATTAAATAAACTCATGAAATGAATAACATAACTATCCTTTTCATTTTGTTCTTTGTTTTATTTTGAGACACAAGTCTTGCTCTATCACTCAGGCTGGAGTGCAATGGCATGATCATGGCTTACTGTAGCCTCAATCTTTCAGGTTCAAGCAATCCCCCTGCCTCAGCCTCCCAAATACCTGCAACTCTAGGTATGACACCAAGCTTGGCTATGTTTTTTGTAGAGAGATAGGGTCTTGCTATGTTGCCCAGACTGGTCTCCAACACCTGGACTCAAGTGATCCTCCCTTCGTGGCCTTCAACATGCTAGGACTACAGACATAGGGCATTGCACCAGTCTCTCTCTCTCATTTAAAGTATTAATATCTTTTGTCATCTCAAAACAAAATCAAAACAAACATTTAAAGTCTAGATATATGGAATTCCATGTTCTAAATTTAAAAATTCCTTTTCCTGGTTTTCTTCAAGAAAATTGAATACTCTAATAAAAGTGAATGAGGTCTCTTTCTCTCCCTCCCTTTCTCCTTCTGTTTCTAACTTAAATTGTAAGATCATCCATTTTCATCTAAAAACAACAGAAAAATATAGAAAGCCTAGAAATATGGTAGTCAGACTGTAAATTAAAACCTCTAAGAAAATTCTCCTGATATAAATATAGTAGGGACAAATGTTGAACAGCAGTATGATTTTCAGGAAAGAAGACTGAGTGTGTTTTCAGAATACTGTTTATATCCCTTATTAACAGTGTAACACTATGTTACCTCTCTGAGCCTATTTCCTCAACTATAAGACAAAAACAATACTCCCTTCCCCACATACTACAAATAATTAGTTTGGGGATCAAGAGAGATAATGTTTTTGAAAGCATGCTATAAAAGATAATGTGCTGTACTGCAAAGAGTGTATTCACTCACCAAACACAGTTCTTGCAGGCACAGATTCTCTGTTAAGCCAGAATGAAACTTGGGAGAGAATGACAGTCATGATACAAGGCAGATATGTCTGAATCACAAAATACCCAATTTTTCTTTTCAAGTGGAAATGAGCTGTCATTACAGTGTATTCACCTGGAAGAAAAATTTAAGAAGCTCAATGAGTAATAGCCAATAGATTGAACATTTTGGAAATAGAAAGAATCAGAGGTAGAACAAAAACTAATTTTTTAAAACAAAACATATATCACATATATGTCATGAAATTTATGTCACCTTTAAAAGCCTCCTTAGCTTAGAATGAGTGTTTCAAAGAAAACTTTAATAATGTCAAGAAACTTGCAGTGCACATCCCATGATATGGTACAGGTTAAATGCCTCTTATTTAAAATATGTGGAACTAGATGTGTTTTTGAGTTTAGATTTTTCAGATTTTGGAAAATTTACATTATTACAAATTGAGCATCCCTATTCCAAATATATAAAATCTAATATGCTCTAATCAACATTTCCTTTGAGCATCATGTCAGCACTCAAAAAGTTTATTTTTTTTATTTTGGAGCATTTTGTATTTTAGATTTTCAAATTAGAGATGTTCAATTTACATTTGTTTTCCTCTCTAAGTCATGCTTATTGACCAAAGTAATTCAGGATTCACAAATGCTTTCTGCCAATGGTTTATTTTACTTGGTTAGGCCCCTCACTCTCATTAGTATAAACCTCAAGTCTCTGTTTTGATTGTTCTAACTCAGTGCTCTCTGGCTCCCAAAATGTTGATCTCTGGCCGGATTTCCAAGACTGATCTTCTGGCCCACATTTTCTCACTTTTAACCCTGTCACCAATTCTGAATTTCTCATTGTCATATGTCTGTTCTAATTTGCTTCAGTCACTCCTATCTAATCCTCATATCTACCTTTCTTTCTGCTCCCTGGGTTTTAATTATTGCCATATGTAAGATTATTAGTCCACACTGCTGGGCTTTTTTTTAGGTGAATGTGGCCCTCACAGAGGGAATCAGCTTTCCACATGAGCCTGTAGTAACTATCAATATCAAAAGTTGAATAATCATAATTTATCTAGAATATGAGTGAAAAAATAGAAAACTAAAGAAATTATCACTGGTCGGCCAGATGAGGTAGCTCACTCCTGTAAATCTAGCACTTTGTGAGGCTAAGGCGGGCAGATCACGAGGTCAAGAGATCAAGACCATCCTAGCCAATATGGCGAAAACTCGTCTCTACTAAAAATACAAAAATTAGCTGTATGTGGTGGGGCACACCTGTTGCCCCAGCTACTCTGGAGGCTGAGGCAAGAGAATCACTTGAACCCAGGAGGCAGAGGTTGCAGTGAGCCGAGATCACACCACTGCACTCCAGACTTGCAACAGAGCAAGACTCCATCTCAAAAAAAAAAAAAAAAAAAAAAAGTAAAAAAGAAATGATCACTTGTCAAAGGTAAAAATTAAAATTTATTACTCTGAGAAAACATGTATGTTGTAAATACATGGTGAATTTTAGGCCAGTGTTTCTCAAACTTCAGTGCAAGTATTAATCTTGGAATCTTGTTAAAATGTAGATTCTGATTTAATAAGGGGTGGGGCCTAAGATTCCGAATGTCTAAAAAATTTCCAAGCACAGTCTATGCAACTAGTTCTTGGACCTCAAGAGCAAATGATTTTAAGCCATCGGACACACTTCCAAGTCCTTTAACCTATTAATACTCTTAGGCACCAGATTTTCTTAGGACTAATTTTACTAACCTGTACTGGATTTAATTGTCTCCTTTCCAATTGATTGGCCCAGAAGGTCATACTGATTTAACCTAGAGCCATCAGGAGCAACCTGTACTGAATCAGATGCATTGTAAGTCCAAATATAAGTGACCTCTGAAGTTGTATATGCATCTATAAGAAATCAGAAAAAATATTTTAAGCATTTAAATAAGAGCCATCAGTCTAGTGCTACATGTACAGTTGTGTATTTCTACAATCACTATATACTTTTAATACTAATACTTAAACATCACATTTTAGGGGAAAATGTCTCATTTAAATTTACTTCAATATGAGAGACATGAAGCAGACCAAAAAAGATGATCATGGCCATGACAGTATATACATTGCAGCCACTTTGAAAGGTGAAAAGCAAATTTCTTCTTAGAGTCTATTACAACCACTTGGTACTGAGATGATTATAACATCTCCTTTAGGCCCAAGGAAGCATATGAAGACAATGTTGTAAACAGGTTATAAATGCCCAAAGTCCAGGAAAACCACATTTATAAATATCAATCACTCATAAGATAAAAAGCATAAGTCAAAATTATATTAAGTTTTGGACATAAATGTACCCTAGTTAAGAATTAAATGGCTTAGCTATCATGATACAATGCATTTCATGAGAAGAATAAAATGTAATTATCATAGAACATATAAGATAAATAATAATGCTATACTTGCATCAAGTTGCAAATCCTTTTAAACTCATGCTTATTTTTAAAGGAATTAATGCACACAGATATCACTAGCCTACACACTTATAGCATCCCAGTTAAATTACAGATTGGCACAAAGAGGAAAAATGCAGTCAGATCAGATATAACTTCCTGATATATTGGCAAAGGATGCAGAGCTTAGCAGAAGTGAGATGACTTCAGAGCTGGCATGCAGGCAACACATCTGGTCTCGCCCCTTTCTCTGGCACTGCATTTTCTTACCCCTTTATGTCCCATTGGGGAACAGATAACCTCTCCAGGTAGGCGGAGTCCCTCCACAGTTGAATAACAGGCAATTCTTGCTATATCAGTGACAGTTTGAAGAACTTCTATGCACTTTTACTCATGAGAATGTTTAGAGATATAGTTACCCCTAACAAAACTCAGCATCACAGTCACATCACCAATTAAGGGAGAGAAAGGGCAAGTTGTTGCTGGCAATAGTTCTGCCTTCAGCTCTCCAGGACACTGGAAATCCCATTCTCTGTCATCTATAACTTGCCTAGCTTTAAGGGCATCGTACTGTGGTGACACTGGTTCTGAACTTGATCTAAAGTCTGTGATCACAGATCAATTTCCACTCAAGTATCAGTAACAATAGAGTGAATGATTATGAGTTTGTGTCTTTTAATGACATACTGCAATGTTGTCGAGTTTTCTGAATGTTTCTACTAAATGTTAATATCAGCGAAACACCATCACTACACATATAGTTACCTACATTAACAATCAAATTATATTATGTGAAACAATTTTTGAAATAGGATTCTAAAAATGTACATGTATATATTTACGGATGTATACACTTTTAGTAGCAGAGAAACGTTCATATGATTGCATATAAATGAATTTTAGTTATTCTATAGTTTAATTTTCTTGTTAAGTAATTTCAGTTCATTAATTATTAATGATTGATTACTCTGAGAAGATTAAACAACAACATTACTAATGTGGATAACTAGCAACTGATTTGTAGATCAAATGGCTTGCTTTGTTTTTCCCTTGAATACATATTCTGGCTCTCTCTTCAATAAAATTTTAAATGGCACAGGACTTAGGAAAAAGATACATCAAATGGCCTACTTTACATTGGAAGGGCCTCACAACACTGTAGTTGTCAACAAATTATGAAGTTTTTTTTTTAAGCAGAATAAATCACTTTTGAATTATAATGTTTCTTTTAAACATAAGTAAGTAAAAATGAAACCCTGTAACAGAGACGATATTTTTAAGGCACTAATGAGATACTGATAGACAGGGACTCTGTCTGATTCGTGTCTATTCTTCCAGGACCTGGTACAATGCCTGATACACAGAAGAAAAAGTCTCAGTCCATCCTCACTAGATTAATAAATTAACTCATAGTATTTTAATTATGTTCTTTACTGTTATGGAAGAAGGAAATCTGGAGAAGAACTCAAGAATTTATTAAAGAAAGTGACTGATTCTTCACATGACTTTTCAAAAAGCAATTACTGCACTTCATTAGTTAGACAGGAATATAGTTCTGAAATTTGTGTCTGGTGAAAACAATGCAGCAGAAAGTTATGCAATGCAGATTAGAGCCTCTCCGGAAGACATTAACACACATATAAGCCAAGAGGTCATGAGCACTACACACTGGGGTCAGTTGGGGGGAAATAGGCGAGGGAGGGTGGGGGGTGGGAAGCTGGGGAGAGATAGCAAGGGGAGAAATGCCAGATGTAGGTGATGGGGAGGAAGGCAGCAAATCACACTGCCACGTGTGTTCCTATGCAACAATTTTGCATGTTCTTCACATGTACCCCAAAATGTAAAATGCAATAAAATAAATAAATGGGAAAAAAATATAAAAAAAAAACAAACAAACAAAAAAAATGTTTCTCAATAAAGTTTCAAGGGAGAGAAAGACAGTTTTACAAAATTCACCATAAATTCCACTTCTAAATTAGGCTGTCATTAAATAATCTTGTTTATGTTAATTAACCCATTTTTTATTCCTATGTTGCATTAAACAGATCACACCAACTGATTCTTAATATTTGGTAAACAGGAAAAATACATCAAAATTATTTTTAGCTATTAATTTTTAGTCTGAAGACAATTTACAGCTTCTTTGGGATTAATGAATGGAATATCCCTAGACTTTCACTCAGAAATTTTAAAATCAAGCTAAATCGCAAGGAACAATTGAAAGGTATGAGGCAATAGGAATAAAACAAAACAAGACTGGATTTAAAATTGTAAGCACACAGCAAAAAAATATTCCTTTAATTGAGAACAATGACAAAGTTCCTGAAATCCAATCTTTTTGGAGGGTAGGGGTAGGGAAGAAGAGGGCTTTCAAATAAGCAAGGAATAAATGAATATAAGAAAAAGTCACTGCTGCTTCTCTGTTTCATAACAAACCAAACTTTGTTATGCAAACATTGTTAGGTTTGGCTTGGCTTGTATGTTACTCTACACTGATGTTCATACTATTAATACTTATGCATCCAGCACCTACTATAGACAAAGACAATAAAATAACATAAAAATTGTTTATTCAGTTTGTCAGAAAATAAATGTGAAGAAAACAAAATTAGTGATAATTACTTAAACATAAAAAGCCTGGCAACACACTTTACGTGTTGCTCATAGCTCCTTCTGGGTACAGAAACTATATTCTCAAGCATGCAATATTCCACCACTCTGTAGATGCAGTATAAGAGATTTTTAAATTTCATTTAAAATATTTTCAAGTGTGCTGCTTTCATTTTCAGAATGGAGACATCCATCACATCATTTATATTTGATGCCTTCATGACAAAAAAATAAAATCCTTCTTACAACATAATTATATCTTGAATTAATCTTTTCTTTGGTATCAAGGCTTTCAATTTTTTCTATAATGCCACTTATGTAATGGAAATAAGTTTTTCTCTGCTGCATCTGCTGTGGTTTTCTCAGCATCATGTTTACGTTATATAACATGACTGACTATCTTAAATAATGTTGGAAGAAATGCTGGTACTAAACTTATGGTTTCCATGACAATAAAAGAAGGATTTGCAGTTAAATAAAGGGGAGATTCTCAAAGAAAATTGAGAACTGACACCTTTCGTAAGAACAAACAAGACTGCTCTTCTCATACCACAAAAGTATGACCATCAAAATAGAGAGTTTTGCATTCATATGAGCTGTCATTCTTTCCTTTTCTTTGGCTTGATACAGTTTGTAAGGAGAAGGCACACTGTTCAGTGATAATAGTTTTAATCAGGTGAGAGCACTGCATTTCTATTTGACAGAGAATAAAAAGTCAAAAGCTGTTCCAAAGTGACAAAGATGATGGTGCCAGAAAGAGCACAGTCTCTAAAAAGGTCAGGCAAGAGGACACCCTCACAAGAGGCGGGCTGCTTAGCTGTGTTCATGAATTCATACTGAATCTACCCAGAATGTCATATGGTCCTAGGAAGATGATTTGACCTTCCCCCTTTTCAATTACTCTGGAAGTATGAATGCTTCTGCTTGATATACATGATATGACCCCTATGATCTAAAGAACAGCCAACTGCACAGACGCTTTTCTAAAATGTTCTATGTACATAGAAGGTGCCAGAATGTAGCAATACAGTTATATTATCTCCCTTAATTTAAGAAATAGGAAAGAAATTCTTCCATTCATTACAGTAGAAGACAGGGGCACAGACTAAGTTTCTGTGCATGTAATTTGCAAAAGGCTGATTGCCACTTTAATAAACTGTAGAATCTATCCTTTCCAATTCATTCTTAGCTAATGAAAAATTAACATTTATTTTGAGTTTTTAAAGTTCTAGCAGTTGGAAAAGGAGGTAAATTACAGTCCTAACCTTCAAGTTAGGTCTTGATTTTATACATGTCTAAATTTATACATTTATAAATTTTTTAAATGGTCTAATTTTATACATGTACTAAAACACACGATATTCTTTATTAGCAGTAAAAATAAGTGATAATTGTTTAACACTGTGACTAAATTATAGTGATATTCGAGAGATGTTCCTTAAGGGCAATTTGCATGCTTTTTACTCCTGTATCTTATTGGACAATTGTTAATCAACTCATAATTTGAGAAAAAAAAAATCTGGACAACTAAGGAGTGCTGCTGACTTTCCCTGATATTATTGACCCAAAACATGTACCTTCATTCCTGTACTTACAGCTGCCAAATTTCAGAGGACACGAATGAGCATCCATTGGGAAATCCTCCAAGTGCATTGGGCATTCAGCTTGAACTGTAAGCCTAAAAGTCAAAATTCCACTATTTGTTTAAGTAAATTGGTTAAGTCAAGAAAAATCACTTGTGTCTACAGTCAACAGAACTGATGGAGATAGAGCCTTAATCATAGCATTTTATTAGGCTCATTCATATGTAAATACTCTTGTTCTTTCATGTTTAGGTGATCCCTCAGAAGATACTGACACATAACAAATTCTGAGTATAACTGAAGATAATAATTAAAAGTATGCTTTAGCCATTTTAGTTTCTTAAGACATGAAGAAATTTCATAGGCATTTTGAAGGGTTCTTTACTCCTTAAGCTCACTATTAAGACTTGAAATCTTAAGGACAAATAACTCTATCATTAAAAGAATGCTAAAGTCTCCATTATCTTATCAACAAACATATTGCAAAATTGATAAGAGAATTCAATATTAGTTCAGAGGAGCTCCCTCCAACATATGTGAATTGTGAATAAATATCATATACTGCATATATATTCACAGCTATACATATAGAACTAGATGTAAATACATATACAGATGTATTTCCTAGAAATAACTTATGGAGATTAGATTGTTGGCTAAATTATAAAACACAAATTAAGAATGTTAAATACGTATTTTTTCTGTATCTACATGATTGCAACAAACAGTAGACACAGAAAATTTAATATAAAGCAAACTTTCAATTATTCCACTTCACATAAAGACAAAGTGAGTATAGCAGATACTAAATAAAATTTATGGAGGAATCTGTTATAACAAGCAAAGCAAATAATGTGACCAACAATTTATTATGGCTTAAATTCTGAGAGAATATTTAAATAGAAACTTATACAATATTTTCCAAAATTCTATATGTCCTGTACCTGCATTTTGTTTAAATCCTAAAGTTTTAATCATTGCCTTAATTCATAGAAATGATCAAAGTACAAAGTCAACAAAGGCACTGCATCTGAATATATTGTAAAATTCAGAGGGAGAGGCAGGCAGAAAGACTAGCTAGCACTTCCATTGTAGGCAATGAATATCCAATAATGAGTCCTCAAAAAATTTTTCCTTAAAGATCAGAAATAGCACAGGACTATATTGTTGTCCCTCTTAAATAACTTTCATAACTAAAATCTAGCACTTAGCTTATGAAATGACAACACATCAAATAACTGGAATACATGTTTATGTCTATATATAATGCTGTTACTAGATTTGTGATCTTTTTCTTACATAATACAAGTAACTTATTTCCCAAGATGAAATCATAAGTATACTTAAGATGTAATAGGCATTAAATTTTATTTATTCTTCCATAAAATTTCATTAAAGTTTAAATCATATAAACTTAATGATTTAGGATATTTTTGAGTTACAAAATGACAATTTCATATGGTTCAATCCAGTACATGTTTATGGTATCCAATATACTTGTAAGCCTTATTAATAAAGCTTTGTCTCTGAATTTAAAGTTATTTTTCTCTGGAGTAACTTCATAAGGAGAATTAAAATATTAAATTAGGCTGGGTACAGAAGCTCATGCCTGTAATCCCAGCACTTTGGGAAGTCGAGGTGGGTGGATCACTTGAGGCCAGGAGTTCCAGGCCAGCCTGGCCAACATGGCAAAACACTATCTCTACTAAAAACACAAAATCTAGTCTGGTGTGGTGGCAAGGGTCTGTAGTCTCAGCTCCTCAGGAGGCTGAGACAGGAGAGCCACTTGAACCAGGGAGGCAGAGGTTGCAGTGAGTCGAGATCACATCACTGCACTCCAGTCTGGGCAACAGAGCAAGTCTTCATCTCAATAAATAAATATAAATATATAAATAAAGTCTTACTTTGAAATAATAAAAATGTTGATGGGATATCTGATAATAAATTAAAATTCTATGCTGATGAAAGCCAAATTCACGTCATATTATTAAAACTGTACTTAATAAAAATATAGTGTGAAGAATAACCAAAAGCATCAATTCTGAATAATAAAGGCAATTCTTAACATTTAAAGAACCAAGATGAGACTCAAGCTCATAAATACTATTTTATGCAGTTTTCTTTTTAATCAAAGCATTTGCAAACATATGATGGGTGCTTCAACAATCTGTTAGAAAACATTCAACTTCTGCTAATACTTGACAACTAGATTGGTTGTTTAACACATGAATTTCCCAGTATATAAATCCATCACATCAAACCTAAAAGCATACCTCATTGTATACAGCAGAGTCCCATCATCCTGGATTCGAAGCAACTTATTTGGCATTGTCATATTATGAGCTACTGATTTTTTCCCATTGTGAAAAAAGGTATCTGGAGTCCAGATTTTGCTAGCCATTAAATTGTTGAGTCGAAGGATGTTCATCGGACCTTTAAATTTTAAACGTTCATCTTTCCACTTTTGTCGAAAGAAAACATCAATTGTATATTCCTGAAATTAAAAAAAAAATGAATTCCTTTCAAAATAGTAAATGTTTTAGACACGAGACACTATAAAATTCCGAAAAATATATATATTCTAAAAAAATTAAACAGAGAGAGAGAACTACATTGAGGGAAAATCAGTTTTAATCACAAATATTACTCCTTTGGCTTATCAATGCATGTTGCCACATAAAATGGGATAAAGTACACCTGTGTACACTATTAGGTATATATTCTTGTGAAAATAAAAAACAAGTTCACTTTGGTCTCTTCCAGTTGAACAAGGTCTCAGTCAAACTGCTTCACTGCATCTGTAATTGAGAACTGCTTCTAGAGGGGATGAGCTTAGCTAGGGTCTGGTTGAATTACTTCAAGTAGCTTATTTCAAGAAAAAATAAGCAGGCAGCTTTCCCAATAGCAAATAAATAAATAAACAATATTTTTATGTTAAAATTAAAACAAAAAAACACAACACTTAAGCGCATTGTCAGATCTGTATGAATCATCTCCTGTTGCCAAAGAAACTGTAAATTATCATATTTATTTTTTAATCCTAATAAATGTTGAGAACATGATATTGTTAGCAAGATTGTGTTAGGAGATAATTTCAATCAAGTTTATTTATGAAATTAGTTGTAATACAAGCACTTTACATGTTTTTAGAGTATTTAAAGTGTGTATGAATATTTTGCAGATAAACTCTTTCATGTTAAAATGTACTTTAAAATATTGTTACAGACCCTCTAGTGATAATTTCCTGTATTATTTTTCTCCAATATCTTAATTTAGGTAAACCTCTTTTGCTCTCTCTCTCTTTACCTCTGTCTCTACCTTTACCTATCTATCTTTCTTAAGACCACATATACATTTTAGATGAGACATAAAATGCACAATTATGATTAATATTTACAATCTGTTGGATGTTAATTTTTTGTCAATGTATGTTGTTATAAACATACTACTAATAATTAAAATGTTCAATTACACACCTGAGATTGGAAATTCAGAAACTGTCTTTTGAGCACAAAAACACAGTTATTACATGTTTGAAAATAAACAATGTAGCAATAGCAATTTTATTAAAGTAATGTTTGCAAAAAAGAACATATTTAAAAGACCATATACTTATAAATTAGAAAATCATTTATATAAATCTGAATTAAGTACATGAATCCTAGTGATCCCTCAAAAATGGAAACAGTGATGATACTAACAAGTGAAAATCATAGGTAATGGCATGTGAGTAGGAAATGAACAGAGGCTCTGGGCTGTTAATTCTTAAGGGAGTATTCCATAACCTTACCCACTCTTACTATCATCTAATTATCTCTTTTAATGTTTAACTTTATCTAAATGGATCTCTAAAATTTAAAAATAATGAATAAAGAAATAAGTCTTTGCACTGTAAGTTTTATGCAAGTATTTCTTTTTTACCTGGGATTCCTTAAATACTAGCCTAACATAAATACATATGACACTTACTTTTCCAGGTAAAATTAATACATTTTTGAACTTTTTATAAAACTTCAAATTCTATATTTCATTTCTGTAAAATGAGGGTATGTTTTATCTGTTTCAGAAACTACTGATATGACAGTCATTTTCTGGAGGTCGACTACTTAGGAGATACTTTAAGTTTACAAACTGAAAGTTGCAGGTGTTTTTCTTTTTTACATTTTAATGATATATTTTACTTATTTATTTTATTTTTTTAATAACTTCAACTTTTATTTTAGAAATAGGGGCATACATGCAGGCTTGTTACATGAGTATATTGTCTGATACTATCATTCAGAGAGTGAGTATATTACCCAATTGTTAGTTTTTCAACCCTTGTCCTTCTTCCCTCCACCCTGTAGTAGTCCCCAGTGTCTATTCCTGTCATCTTTATGTCTATGAATACCTAGTAGCTCCCATTTATAAGTGAGAAGCTGTTACTGCATTAATTTCTTTAGGATAATAGCTTCTAGCAGCATACATGTTGCTGAAAAGGGCATAATTTTGTTCTCTTTTAAGTTTCCTACCATCCAATAGTGTATATAAACCAAATTTTCTTTATCAATCCATCATTCACATGCAACTAAATTAATTCCATGTTTTTGCTATCATGAATAGTGCTGCAATGAACATATGCATGCATATGTCTTTTTGGTAAAATGATTCATTTTCTTTTGAGATATATAACCAGTAATGGGATGGCTGGGTCTCATGGTAGGTCTGCTTTAAGTTATTTGAGAAATCTCCAGACTGCTTTCCATAGTGCCTGAACTAATTTACATTACCAGAAAAGGTGTCTGTAAGTGTTCACTTTAGTCTGCATCTGTTTTTTTTTATTATTTTTCTAAGTTTTTAATAATGGTCATTCTGACTGATATAAGGTAATATCTCATTATGGTTTTGATCTTCATTTCTCTGATGATTGATGATATGAAGCATCTTTTCATCTATTTGTTGGCTGCTTGTATGTCTTCTTTTCAGCAGTGTCTGTTCATGTATTTTGCCCACTTTTAAATGAGGTTGTTTTTTTACTTGTTGAATTACTTAAGTTTCTTAAAAATTGTTTCCAGAATTGTTATTTATCTTTGAGAGCTCACAGTGTCCCAGGTGTGCTTGGCCAATCTATTTAACATAGTTTGAGTCTTTTTCTCCCACTCTCATCATGCAAGCTCATGTTATGGTCTACGCAGTTTTAACAGTCCCCACTCCCGGTCATTCCTCAAATAGGGCAAGATCTCCACCTGCCTCAGTCTCTTGAATACCTGCAAAAAGCATAGCCAGCTTTCTTTGAATTTCTATAGAGCTCTTCATTCTTTCAAGATCATCTACTACAATTATAAATTTGCTTCTCTGCCTCCCAAATAGTCTATACATCTTCAAGAAAGGGGCCATGGCTTTCATTTGTGTTTCATTTTTTTCAGTCATAAAAAAGACTGTAAAGAATATTACAAATACCTTGTAACCATCAACTAACAGAAATGTCAACACAAATATTATTGAAGGCCTTTCTCTTCTGTTTATTCCTTCTCAATCACAGCCCCCCAATCCCTGAGGAAATAAGTATGTTGAATTTAGTATACACCCTTCCAACACATGTACTTTCAGATTTACTACATAAATATATATAGTGTGTGTCACATTTTAAACATTCATATACATGTAAATACACGTTGTATATTTTTCTGACATTTGCATCTTTTAGCTACTTTGCTGAGATTTACGCATGGCAATATATCTAGTCCTTTGATTCATTTTCACTACTTTATAGCATTATATTGGAAGACCATTTCACAATAAAGTCATCATTTTTCTAATCCTTATTTTTCTTATTACTAATTTGTCACTGTTACAAGCAATATTGCTACAAATATTCTTGTTCAACACTTGTAATACAAAGGTATAAGAAGAGTTAGTGTAGCAAATTTTTTCCATTAAGAGTTAGTCAATAAACATTTTAGAATTTGTGGGCCATATGGTTAGCATAACAACTATTCAACTCTGCCACTGCAATGTGGAAGCAACCACAGATTGCATAAATGAATAAGCATGGCTATGTTCCAGTAAAACTCCGTTTACAAATATAGGCAGCTGACAGCTTTTTTCCCATGGGCTGTATGTGGTATGCTGACACTGCCTTAGACTAAATCTATAAGTAAGATTACTGGAATTTAGTATATGTACATCTTCAAAATAACAAGATATTTTTAAATTGAAATTCTAAGAAGTGTGTAAATTTCTATTCTCAATAGAAGGGTATAAATGTTCTTGTTTATGTACTACTTGGTAGAGACAGAATATTTCATTTTAGACATTATAATTAGTGTGAAATGGGTAATGGTGCAACCATGTGGATTTCTCTGTTAAGTAGTAAAAATTAATATATGTTCATGTTTATTAAAAATTCTAGTTTTCTCCTCTATAAATTGTCTGTTGACTTTATCTACTCAGTTTCCCTTTAGGTTGTCTTTTTCTTTTTTTTCTTTTTTTTTTGAGACGGAGTTTCACTCATGTTACCCAGGCTGGAGTGCAATGGCGCGATCTTGACTCACCGCAACCTCCGCCTCCTGGGTTCAGGCAATTCTCCTGCCTCAGCCTCCTGAGTAGCTGGGATCACAGGCATGCGCCACCATGCCCAGCTAATTTTTTGTATTTTTAGTAGAGACGGGGTTTCACCATGTTGACCAGGATGGTCTCGGTCTCTTGACCTCGTGATCCACCTGCCTCGGCCTCCAAAAGTGCTGGGATTACAGGCTTGAGCCACCGCGCCCGGCCTCTGTCTTTTTCTTACTAAGTTATGATTATTCTTTATGTAGTTTCCATACTAACACCTTGTTAAATAATATACAACTCAACAAGAGTCAAACTAAAGATATTTAAAATATCATAAACATTCCCTTATTATCTTCAATGGATATAAAAAAAACTCTGGTTTTTACATGAAGACCTTAAATCTACCCTGTATTATTATATATGTTATGAGATCAAGGTCCAACATTTTTTTCTAATAATAGAAAGTCAGATTTATCAGCACCATTTATTGACTGGTCGATTTTTTCCCCCATACATATGCAATTATATTTCTATAATATATCCAGTATCCATACAGGTATGGGTTTGTTTCTGATTTCTATTTTGTTTTTATTGTTCGCTTATTCAATTCCAAAGTCATTATTATAATAGTTGTATAACAAGGTTTAATTCTTAATGTTCTCTTTATTGTCCAATTGAAAATATTTTATAATTTCTATCATGACTTTCCTTCCTCTTTACATAGAAAACATTTTTGTGTTTTTGTATTTCCAAATGTATTGGCTCCTTTTTTTATATTTAATCGTTAATGTTTGATTTTACTGCAGTTGTAAGAAGATATTAGGCATTATAGAACAATTTTTGCAATTCATCGAAAATTTAAGAGATTTTTTTGTTGTTGAACGTGACCATCTCCATCCTTTTGTAATAATTCAGTCCATGTATATCTATTGTGGTTACTAATATTGAACATGTTCCCAA